GTCTGGTATAGTCTCAAATAAGAATTTGGTTTGCTGATTCAAATAAGCTAAAAAAGTCAACCATTTCCGTGGGGTGTAATTTTTCACATGACTGTATGTGTACCCCAGTGCCTATGAAGGTCATGAGGGGGGACCAAGATAGGATAAATGTAATTTATGTGGCAAAAATATCCTAAACTCAGATGCTCAACTTAACAGAACTGTGCTACTTGATATACAATATGAGGTAAAGAATATCACACAGTACATGTGAAAGCACTTAGAAAAGATACCTATGCCAAGCACCTCTGCTGTGTCACTATACTTTTATGTCACATATGGGACAAAAAACTATACTAAAGACATAGCACAAAAGATAGAGACTTTGGAAGAATTGAAAAGGTATAATGTGGGGATTGTTTGATAAGCAGCTTTTTTTTTTTATTACACTCATCTAGTAGAAAAAGTGAAAATATAAAAAACTCTGGCATATAACACCACCCCATGCCTCCAAAAATGGCTACTGCTCTATTCTACAACTACCCCTCTCCATAAACAAAACACTCTGCTGCCCTCCAAGGTGCCAAGGAATATATTTCTTTGAGAGAATGAACCCTTAAGTGTTGGCTGCTCAGGAAGCAGCACCAGCATACCTGCGGGTCTGTAAAGGTCAGAATCAAAGAAAATGGCAGACATGATTTGAGGGATTCTCTCCCATTCCACTAGCCCTAGGTCTGAGAATACACTGGCACACTGTTGTAGGTCACCCCTGGCAAGTAGAAAGGCTTACAATGCATGCTGGAAAGCAGCAAACATGACTGAGACTGGAATGAGACTGAACTGATGAAATCTTTTAAAAGGATAAGTTCACCTTTCATAACATGTCATATGCTACACCCATATTCACGGTGTAATATGTAATGATCAGATTGACCTCCTATCCCCCACCTTGACAGCTAGCGGGGGATCTTCTCCTCCCTCGCTGTCAAATTTTTAAAAAAACGTGGCTGTGTGGGGCTCTGCCCACCCAGCTGCGTCACTCATTCACTGTGTTCTGTGAATGAAAAACTACAAGTCCTGACAGCCTTAGCAGTTGCCTGCTTGTAGTTCTCAATGAACTACCACAGTGCTGTGGTGCACGGCGTACATCCTGTACGGGTAAACATATATACTGACAGATCTGTAGAAGACCTGCATTGAAACAGCGATCTACTGATCGCTCGTGAAATGGTTTACAGGCTTGTGCAACAAAAAATAATAAATGCACAATTTTTTTTACCTTCAAAAAAAACAAAATGTATTATTTATTGTATAAAGGTGAACTTGTCCTTTAACATGTTCTGGGGGTTGAAGGGCAGTGCTATCTCTGAGATGTAGTACTGTTCTGGAAGATGATAAATATCTTTTATCTATGTTGTTCCTTCAGTACCACAAGTTACCAATACTATTCTTCAGCAATGGTTGCTATGAATAGTATACAGTTCTAGGTCTCAAACAGAAAATACTAGCAGTTGCACAAGTGGAACACAATACGTATGTATTTAATCATGTATGTCATGTAGTCACCACAAAATGACCAGACTAAAGCCAAAGCATCACAGCATTCATTAGACTGTTAAAGCAGAATTTTAGGTAAAAATAAAAGTATCCTTGCTCTCCCCATATATAGTTTGTCTCGGTCTACCTTTTTGGATGCAAATAACTTCTATTGCACAGACTATCGCCCTCCCCCTAGAAATTATAGTAGACAGTACAGCTTTCAATTATTATGGGAAAGATGGCTTCCTAGGTTCTGCTTCCTTAGTCACCTCTCCACCAGCCTGTCAATTGTGAATGAAGCAGTAGCTTCTTCATTTTTTTTGCTTGGAGTTCTACTTCAAAATCTACATCTGTGCAGTAACTATACCATTATGTGAAATAAAATGCTTCACAAATGAGTAAATTCTGTCATTTCTTTAGGAAGAGAACCAGACTGGATAATGAAAAATTGTTCTATTGTTTACCTGGCTGCCAAATGAGGCAGTGCAGAGTAACATCTTTGTATCACTTTGAGGTGCGTTAGTTTTAAATCTGCATGTCGTGTTGAGTAGATGGCCAAATGCAGCCATTAAATGGCAATAGGAGCATGTTGCAACCACGCACCACGTGTTTTGGTGGTTGTGGCGCAGTATTTCAATGTGAAATAATCCTTGGGTGTGAAAGACAGTTAGGAGGTGAAAGTATCACCTCCTGTCCAACTGTAAACCGGTTCTAAACATTGTACTGAAAAGCAATCCACCACAGATTGCTTTTCAGAGCCTGCCGTCCATGTCAAAGTCCACAAGGACATATGTTTGTTAAATACTTTGATTTTTTTTTTAATAATCCCTTCAGAGAAGTACACAATCAGTGGGTTTTCAGATTGTACAACGTTGGGAGATTAACGCGACCTCCATAGAGGATGCCACCCTATATATTTTGATAGTCCCAGATAAGAGAATTACTTCAGGTAGTAATATCTACAGGATAATAAAATTCGCTTTCTGCAAAGCTGGCAAATAAAATTCCTGGAATTCTCAAAGAGCTTGAGAAGACTTCATAAGTAATAGAAAAAAAACCAGCGTATTCCCTTCAGGCTACAGTAACCTTGGTGGGAGACGTATTTGAACATAGAAAAATTACAGTCTCCTCATAGTTGCAGGTCTAAAACAATATCACATGAATACTATGCTGCTATATCTTTGTATGAGCTAATATTACACTCTTTTACACTTCAGCTAACATTCTTAAAGTGATATTAAACACAGTTTAATTTACATTATCCTCTCTTTCTGTGTGTGGATGATGGCACTGTAATTATTTGATATACAGCTGTCACATGACCCAGGTCTTTCCCAGCCTGTCTGCAGGGAAACAGTGGCAGGAGGAGCTTCTAGTCCACTGTTGCTGGACACATGTTCAAGATAAAAAAAAAAAAAAAAAAAAAAAAAAAAAAACCTTTGAGATTTCAGAGTACGCATAGTATTAAAATGGTTCTAAATTGTCATACAAATATTTGAAATCAAATCTTTATTTTTTTTTTTACCAATAACATGGTATGGGTGGATTTCTGACAGTCACAGTCTATGTCACGCACCTCCAGTCTGTCTTCGATCAGGGAGGTGAAGCCTCTGTCAATCATGATGCAATATCCCACTCCCACCATATTTAGCTGGTTAGTGGGCAGGGAGGGAGTGGGCTGTCCTTTACCACTGTGTATACACCCACATGTGTGACTCTATAGTCACATGGTATGCTCAGATGTGACAGGGAGGAAATGCTCAGCGTAGAAATACCCTGAAAATTGAGCATGAGCATTAGCTGCCAACACTGCTCTGCAAAATCCCTATCTGCACTGGGGACATGGACAGGAGGGGGGGGAAGAACAGCATGATCAACCAGGTTTTTTTGCAGTATACAGAAAATGAATTCCATAGTGAACAAGGAGTATAGACAGCATGTAATTCCGCATTTATTCATAGTTCCTAATTATGTGGGTATAATGACAATTTAAAGCAGTTACAGAAATGGTTTTACATAAATGGAATGAAGGTTTTACATAAAAAAAATAAAAATTAACCAATGTAAGGTTTCAACCCTGCCTTACCGGATAGATCCATTAGGTAGAAAAAAAAAAAAAAAAAAAGCTTAAAAAAAAAACTAATGCAACCAGTCAATGACTGGGTGCATCCATGCAGGGATGCTTGGTGTAATAAGGAAGAATTTTTTTTGTCACACACACTTAACTCTATTTAAAACATTTTTTTCATTCATAGCAGTATAAAATCAACAGACTTGCAGTTATCCCACTTCAAGTTGTATGAAGCTTATAATGAAGCCATCCGATTTCATTTACATTTGTTGGATTTACCAAAATAGGTAAAAGGCACACTTCAGAAATCGGCTCTGCTTCTAGTCGTGGATGCACTACTCACGTCTAAAATGATGGGATGTACGGCATATGATAGGGAGCATCTTTGGTTTTAAAACATCCACAAAAGATTTAATACCTTCTGTAAGATCTATGTAAAGACTGACTGTACTACATCAAAAGCAAAGTCTACTTGTAACGGATTTTTCAGTCCTAGGTGGGCATAGATAATCCTCCACCAGCTTCCTACATTCCCCAAGATCTCTAATTTGGGATTAAGTTCCAGATGTGACCAGAAAATTATTTTATTATTTTTCAGGGCAGGTTCCCTGATGGTGGAAAAAAAAAAAGAAAGAAAAAAAAAAAAACACACCACAAAAAACGGGATGGACCATTATCACACAATAAAAGGAAGCACCTGAATTAGGGAAGATCAGCAGGTATTATTCAAATGAAAATTACAGACTTAAAAATTAGTCAAAAATGTGTTTATTAAATTCTTATATATGAACTGTATCTTTTGCTTGATGCTCTCTTAAGTTTAGATGATTAGGCAATACATACTGCTCATAAAAAGTACATGGCAATGGGGGAGAATCTTTTCCCTCTAGGCCTTCTCCTTCCCATCGCCAACACTCTCCAATCAGTGCAACTTTACGCAATGGAAGAAAATAACATTACCGAGGCAAAACACATTTTAATATAAATTTCTCTTATTTTTCATGCATCCATTATGCAAATACAAAGAGCTGAAATATTAGTGTACCCTTCGTTGGTAGAACTATGTTTGGATAAAAGTTTCAAAGATATGCGCTTATGTAAAATTGCCAAATATTAACATCTTGATAGAAATTTGAGGTATAGTTAACTGCTGACCCATCCATTTAGTTTTCAAGTGCTATTAATATTTGGTTTAGTTTATAGTAAATGACCTCATCCCAAGCCAGAACATCACCAAAGTTAAGCTTTATAGAAAGCAAGTTAGACTTAGCAGCAGTTGGTAGCCTTGCTGAATAGAGGAAAGAGTAAGCAAAAGTGTTCTCTGAAAGCTCAGCCTACCTTTTCTGTCTGGCTTGAGATTCCTGTCAACAGGTGGAGGCTCACAGTCTGTAGAGGGAACGGATCTCCTTGGTGGAGTTTGTGGACTGGATCTGAAGCCCATATGTGCTGGAGGTGGAACTTGCATTCCAAACGAAGAAAAGTCAAACGTGCCTGGAGTCATAGGTACATAATTGGTTTCTTGGATGGGTTCCGTACAGCTGTTAGAATGCTGTCGAGGAGGTGAATTTGGGTTCATTGGGACGTAGTTTTCATCTAATTCCTCAGTTGAAAAACTCCCTACTGTTAACATGCTTCTGTTTTTCTGCAAGAAAAAAATTGCATCCAATTGCTACATAAGCATGGATTTGAATAACGCATAAATAAATGTCCATGGAATAAAACCGCTTAAAAACTTACAAAATGACTATGAAAGGCCTCAAGAGAACTAGATCTATCACTTGTAAAGGGACGAGGGACATCGTAGAAATCTTGAGAACTCATTTCTACAAAGACAAATATTAGTGACAAAATTACAAACATTTGAGAAAATGGAATCAGAATAGATCTTCTAAGATAACATGGCTAAGACAGTATTGTGTTGTAATCATGTGTGCCATTCAATATTTACTATAATTAGGTTTAACAGCCACAAATCACCAGTAAGGCTTGGGTCACACTACTGTGACCTGAAAGTTGTGCGACTTTGCCAGGAGACTTCCTGGCGATTTGCTGGCGACTCGAGTAAGACTTTGATGCGACTTAATGCGTGACTTTCATGCCATGCAACTTTGCCTGGGTAATCTTTCTGTAATGTCGGATCCAAATAACATCAATACAGATGAGGATCGGACTTGGAGGCGACTTCCATTGAAGTCTATGGACAAGTCGGATAGACGTCCGCTTGAAGCAGTACAGGAACCTTTGCTAAAGACTTCAGTAGTACTTATTAAGACAGTTCTCATTGACTAACATGGAATCTCACGTGTCATGCGTCTCACAAGGCAGATTCCAAGTTGTGGCAGTGTGCACTGAGCCTAAAGAGTAAGCATCGTGATTGTTTTAGGTTATTTACTTTTTCATTTTTCTTTAATCTTCATAAGAATTATATTGGCCAAGATCAGCTTTCAGTCCACCCAAAGATGATTTAGTTTAGTTATATGTGTAGCCAGAAGGGCAAAATTAACCCCTGGCTTAGGTATGGGATACTTCAGAACCAATAAATGTTCACCTAGGTGTTCTGGGTTCTCCGCCTCGCCTTTGTGTGTTCCTGCACCTCTTTGTATTTTTAATGGTTTTCAATTGGGGATATTGCAGAGTGAGAGGTCCCAAAGAAATCTCATCTACCATTAATTGAATTATCACCTTTGTGTGCAGGCCTGGGGATCATTAATACCACATTCAGTAACTAGTAATTTACTGACCTGGATCAAGCATGCAACCAGTTCTCAAAACTGAAAATGATCAGTTCCCCTCTGTGCTTGCTTATAGGCAAGTCACTGGATGGTGGCAGAATCAGAACAGCGTCAAAAGGCAACAGGTTAAAAAAAAAGAAGAGCAATGAAAGCCCGATATGTCTATACATACAGGAAACAGGTTCCTTTCAAAGTGAAGCGGTCAGGTGATTATAGATGTCAGCAAACATACTCGTTATTCCTTCTCAATTTGTCTGTGATTCTTGATCCAAACCTATAGCATAAATCGTGACCCAATTTCTGGCTGGCTTAGAGTGAAGTCTCACACCACCAAACTACGGCCAACCCCACCATTTAACAGGTCAGTGCATAGGTCAAACTAAGAGAACTGAATAGGTCTGTTCTAAAGTGTATAAACAAACATTACTGGTAAGCTTCAACCAGACACAGCAACAAATACAGAAATCTCACAGACTTTAACAATCTCCATAACATCTAGCTGATAACCATTTTCTTTAGAGACTCTAGGTCTATGGCAAGCTTTATAAGTGTGTCCCTCCCTTCAGTATTGTGACACAATTACTTTTACATTCAACCAGTTTCCAGTCATCTTTTAAAAAGTGACAGTGATATAGAGAAATCTGATGTGCCATTCAGTTTCTAGTCTTCTCCTTTTGCTGAATGGACCCCGGGAAGACCCAATCAATGGACAGCCAATAGAAGAAGTGTGCCCAACATGCAGGCACTTTTGGAGTTTGGTGTGAGCTAAATCTCTAATTATTAATCTGTGTGATACAATCCCTATATATTTCTAAACCAATAAGGAGATAGTGGCAGTCACCACCCACTACATTTAAAAACAATTCTATAATAATAATACTATATACACTCACCGGCTACTTTATTATTATTAAAGTACACCTTGCTAGTGCCACGAAAATATCCCCTACACCATTACACCACCACCAACTGTTGATACAAGGCAGGATGTACCCACGATTTCATGTTGTTTAAGCCAAATTTTGGCCCTACCATCTGAATGTTGCAGCACCCAGCCTGCCCATTTTCCTCTGACATCAACAAGGGTTTTTTGTCCACACAACTGCCACTCAGTGGATATTCTCTTTTTCGAACCATGCTCTGGAAACCCTAGAGATGGTTGTACATGAAAATCCCAGTAGACCAGCAGTTTTTGAAATATTCAGACTAGCCCATCTGGCACCAACAACCATGCTACGTTCAAAGTTGCCTAATTTCCCTTTCTTCACCATTCTGATGCTCAGTTTGAACTTCAGCAAGTCTTCTTCACCTAAAGATGCCTAAATGCATCCAGTTGCTGGCATGCGATTGGCTGATTAGCAATTTGAGTTACCAAGCAATTGAACAGGTATACCTAATAGGTTTACGAATGAAAATCCATTAAAAATAATGCCTCGGTTTACGATTTTTCAGTTTACGATTCGCAATATGAAGTGTATATCAGTGCTGATTTTTAAATGCAATTGCCGGCTTTTTTTTTTTTTTTTCTTCACTAACTAAAAAGGAAACATTGTTTCTCTTAACTCCGGGAAATAAACTAAAAAAAACAAAAAAAAAAAAAAAAAAAAACAACTCTCTTTTAGCTGGGGGGAAAGTGACAGCTGAATTTCTGAGCTACAGTGAAGGGAAAAAAAAAAAAAAAAAAAAAAAAAAAAAAAAAATTTACATTTACAACCGGCACCATAATAAATAAAAAAACGGCATGGGGTCCCCCGTCCCATCCATACCAAGCCCTTCGGATCTGGTATGGATTTTGAGGGGAGCTCCCACGCCAAAATTAAAAACAAAATTGCATGGGGGTCCCCCCCAAAATGCATACCAGACCCTTAGCCGAGCATACCAGGCCACATGCCATCAACATGGGGGGGGGGGGTCCTTTGGGGCAGGGGGGACATCACACATGACCCCCACCCCATGCGACATCAATGATGTCACATTGGACGGGGTCACTCAGGTGATGTCCCGGGTGGTCCTGCCCCTTACTTATTTAAGAACTGTCAAACCACCAGAGCAGGCAGAAGGCTGGTACCCCACATACTCATTCACATGGGGGGGGGGGGGGGGGGGGTGTTTGGGTCGATATCTGGGCTTCCAGATTTTGATAAGCCCCCTGCCCGCACACACCCACAACCACTGGCCAGGGTTGTGGATAAGAGGCCCTTGTCCCCATCAACTAGGTTCAAGGTGAGAGCATGTGGCCTGGTATGGTTCAGGAGGAGGGGTGCTTGGTCGCTCCCCCGTGGGAGTTCCCCTCAAAATCCATATCAGACCCGAAGGGCTTGTTATGGATGGGAGGGGGGACCCCATACCGTTTAAATTATTTTTTAAATTGCCGGCAATTCTTTTACATTTAGCTGTCAATAGGGAACCCCGCTGACAGCTGAAACATTAACACATTGTTGTTACTACTAAAATACCGCATGGCTTGACTCATGCTGAATTTTGGTAGTGTTTACTATTTTTCTGAACTCCGGAATGGATTAATTGGTTTTCAATGCATTCCTATGGGGAAACGGCGTTTCGGTTTACAGATTTTTCGCTATATGACAAGTACTGCACAACGATATGTGTATACGGTTGTTGGTACCAGATGGGCTAGTCTGAGTATTTCAGAAGCTGCTGATCTACTGGGATTTTCACATACAACCATCTCTAAAGTTTACAGAGAATGGTTCCTTTTAGAAAAAATTTGCACATGCAGAGCCAACCAACAGACCCAAGCCAGCAAAGCCTTACTTCTATCAAAGAATGCTGCAAGTGATCAACCCCTGACACTGGTAGAAGTCACTATCTCACCTAAATACATCATTAGTTTAGAAATCTATTCCCACACTCTTTAATGCTGCTTTTTTTTTTTTTTTTTTTTAAATATTAAATATATATATTGTTACTGATGATTTGCAAACTTCCAACCTCAACATTCAACCAAAAAATAAAAAAATCCATATACTTTATACATGTGCATAATAATCCTATGCAACAGTGATTCCCTTAACAGAAAACAAAACTCAGATAAAACCAAGTCATCTTTACCTTTCCTGTATTTGGTTAGCTCTAAGCTAGAAATTGTATTACTACGCGATGATGCAATTCCACCTGTGGGAACACTGTAGTTGCTGTCAGTCTCTGAGGCAGTGCGGGTTAGGCTGTGTTCTGCAGGGGAACGCTCTGAGGAGTAATGGGGCTTTGGTGGTCTAGGAGGAGGAACATCTGTAATTGTCTCTAATTTTGAAGTAGATTGCGCCAAGGAATTTTCATGCACAGTCCTAGGTATCTGATAACTGCTTCCCGAACTAGGAGGAATGTCATAGCTTACAGTAATATGCCTCAGTTGTGATTCTAATAAGGAGGCTCCAGACATATTGAAAACACTCTGATCTGCATCCATGTCCGTAGCAGACGGAGACACCGCTTTTGGCAAAATATCTTGTGAATAGCTTTGGGGAGGTTGTAAAAACTAGACTCTGAAGAGGAGCCAGCACGGGATGGAGAGTCATAAACACTTGATTGTTGGTAATATCCATTTAAGGCATGCTTGTGGGAGGAAGAACTCTTATGAGTGGCAACATTGTCATTACAGTCCGTTTCAGATGGTAAAGACTTTGCCGAATCTGCATGAGACCTGAAATCAAGAAAGCATTACATACTTAGAGGATACCAAATCCAGTATTTGATACCAGGGAAATATACATAAAAACTTATTAAAACAAAATAAAAACAAAAAACATTTGTTATTCAAAAGCTCAATTGACAAGCAAATATATTAGAGACAAACATTTTCCGAATGTGCTACTTAAGAACAAAGTTCTGTCCCATTATTTAAATGCCACTGACCATCTCCTTTAAATACTAGGCATTTAACCAAACAGAAGAGAAATGCACAATAATCCCCTCTTCCTTTCTTGTATGAGAATAGCACAGGAGAAAAATGTTTTGGGAATGTGTTAGAAATTCATTTAGATAATGAACTACATATTAGTAAAAAGAAAAAAAAAAAATGATTACAGCATAGAATAAGAGCAATTTTTTTTATAGTGTGCTTTTAAAAACACAGGCTGTGGTATAAGAGATAATGTAAACTGATAGTCATGTGTTGAAATAAAATGGTAAGTATAAAATAAAGATGGTCTGTCATATAAAGTACCGTATTTTCCGGCGTATAAGACGACTTTTTACCCCTTGAAAATCTTCTCAAAAGTCGGGGGTCGTCTTATACGCCGGTAACGGCATGCTGACACTTTTTAGGGGGGGCGGCGCAGTGATGCAGCCGCCCCCCCTTCCAACAGAAGGGACACTAAGTACAGGGGTGGGCAGGGGCTGCTTTCTCTTACCTGGCTCCGGTCCCACGACGATCCAGTCCAGGAAGCGCGGCTGCTCCTTCCTTCGGTTTGTCCACTGGATGTTCGCGTGGCTGCTCGGCTCCGCCTCCTCACCGGTGATTGGCCGCCAGAACTGTAGCTCAGGAAAAGCACACAGGTAGCCAATCACCGGCGAGGAGGCGGAGCTGAGCGGCCCTGCGAAAATCAAGTGGAGATGCAGGTAAGTGTGCCGTGCTTAGGTGCTGCTGCAACCACATCTGCTGGCTGCAGCAGCACCGTACTGGAACAGGGGTCAGCAAGTGTCATTTGGAGGAATAGTGCCGCATCGTTGGTGTCACTGATACCAATGACGGGGCATTATTCCTCCCACTGACACCAGCGATGGGGCACTATTCCTCCCACTGACACCAGCGATGGGGCACTATTCCTCCCACTGACACCAACGATGGGGCACTATTCCACCCCCCACTGACACCAACGATGGGGCACTATTCCACCCCCCACTGACACCAACGATGGGATACTATTCCTGCCACGGATACCAATGATGGGGCACTATTCCTGCCACTGACACCAATGATGGGGCACTATTCCTGCCACTGACACCAATGATGGGGCACTATTCCTGCCACTGACACCAATGATGGGGCACTATTCCTGCCACTGACACCAATGATGGGGCACTATTCCTGCCACTGACACCAATGATGGGGCACTATTCCTGCCACTGACACCAATGATGGGGCACTATTCCTCCCACTGACACCAATGATGGGGCACTATTCCTCCCACTGACACCAATGATGGGGCACTATTCCTCCCACTGACACCAATGATGGGGCACTATTCCTCCCACTGACACCAATGATGGGGCACTATTCCTCCCACTGACACCAATGATGGGGCACTATTCCTCCCACTGACACCAATGATGGGGCACTATTCCTCCCACTGACACCAATGATGGGGCACTATTCCTCCCACTGACACCAATGATGGGGCACTATTCCTCCCACTGACACCAATGATGGGGCACTATTCCTCCCACTGACACCAATGATGGGGCACTATTCCTCCCACTGACACCAATGATGGGGCACTATTCCTCCCACTGACACCAATGATGGGGCACTATTCCTCCCACTGACACCAATGATGGGGCACTATTCCTCCCACTGACACCAATGATGGGGCACTATTCCTCCCACTGACACCAATGATGGGACACTATTCCTTCCACTGACACCAATGATGGGGCACGATTCTTCCCACTGGTGTGCACTGGAAGAGGGGTAGTCTTATACGGAGAGTATAGCCCAAACTTACATTTTAAACAGGAAAAGTAGGGGGTCGTCTTATACGCCCAGTCGTCTTATACGCCGGAAAATACGGTAAGTTATGTTATAGGAAGCTATCAATAACGTAAAAATTTAACTTAAAAAAAAAAAAAAAATAGAAAGCTTCCCATTTGAAGAAAAATTAAGAAGAAGAAAAACAAAAACACAGCCTACAATATTCACGCTTCTCCACCACAAGATGTCCTCAATCTTCTAGTTTAACCAATACTGGGTGCCATTCACCACTAAGACTAAGGACAGGGTAATCAGATGAGGGGGTATCACCAAAGCGCACTGCAATCACTGCTAAAAGCGGTGCAGATGTTTCCACATCAGCACTGCTCTCTACTTCTTTCAGGACTAGCCAGCCTGTGGAGGCAAATAGGACCCAGCTGAATCATGTAACCAGCTTGAAGACTTCAGAAAATAAAAATAAAAAGGAACACAAAACAGTAGGGCACCAGAGCTTTTCATTATTTAAAGTTGGATATTAAAATTATATTTTATATTTTTTTAGGCTTGCTTCCAACAAGTTTTTATTGTAATCATTAGAAAAGCATGAAATTGTGTGAAATCAATGAAAATACATGAAATCAGTGAACTGGCATCACAATGCATGTCCATGGACGTTGACACACGTAGAGGACATAGCAATTTGCAATGCTATATTGTGATGGCTATTGATTTGATGCCTTCTCAATGAAAGTGCACTAAAAACAAAAACCTAATTCTAGATTTTTAAGACATTTCTTTGCAAAAACATGCTTGGTTAGAAAAAAAAAAAAAGGTTCTAAAAAATGATGAATAACTGACAAAAATGGTTGGTGCAATTCATATTAAAATTCATTAATACAAGCCATTTCCAAACCACAGTATAAAATGCAGTGATACAAAAACACACATGCAAGGTGCAATTCCCATTGCAGTAACCTCAAACTCACTGCCAAGAGATCTTTTTGCTTTCAAAATCTTCTAGCAGTAGATAATCCTCTTCTGATGTGACAGATGATGAGCATTGCCTGATTTATCAACAGAATTTACACAGGAATGAAGAATCCAACATGAATATCATAACTTGAGGAAACATTTTGATATCATAGCTCCTACCAGCATGATACATAGTATGTGTATTTATTGGCTATGACTATACAATGAACTGTTATTGAAATGCCCCTTTTATTCTGAAAATCCCTGGATCTAGATTTTCCAATCTATGCCAGAAGAGTAGTAATTATAAATACTGCCTTTTTTTCTGTCACCATTTGATCACACAATACCTGTAGGGTGAGAAAAAGAAATTGCTGTGCTTACCAGCAGGTTTCACTAATCCCTCTATGCTTTAGGGCCCATTCACACTAGGTGCATTTTAACGGTTTTTCCACATGGAAAACCGCAGGTAACTGCAATGACACACAGAAAACAAAATTATGTGCGTCAAGTTCACATTGCAACACACTCTGCTCAGTCTCGTATGTCATTGCAGAGATGTGTAGCGCACTAAGCTTCTGTGCAGTGATGGGAATGGAATGTCACATTGTACACTTCTTATAAAGTTGGAAAAAAAAAAAAAAAAAGAAGGGTAAAATAACAAAACATGTCCATACTTCCCTGCTGTGTACAATGGTTTTGCACAAAGCAGCCTGGATCCTCCTCTTCTTGGGTCCCCTGATGTCGCTCCTGGTACCTCCTTTTTGTCGGGTGCCCCCATAGCAAGCAGCTTGCTATGGGGGCACCCAAGCAGGCATTTTCCCAAGCCGCTGCTCCATGTGTCCCTTTAGATTGTAAGCTCCACGAGCAGGGTCCTCCTATTCCTTCTATACTGAAATGTATTGTAATTGTACGGTCTCCCTTATATCGTAAAGTGCTGCGCAAACTGTTGGCGCTATATTATTATTATACAGTATTTATACAGCTCCAAAAGGTGTGCTCAGCGCTGTACATTATAGTGGGGGACAGAACATGACAATACAGTACACGAGGGGTTCGAGGGCCCTGCTCTTTCGAGCTTAAAATCTAGGAATCCTGTATAATAATAATAATAATAATTCACACACGGAGCCATGGCTTGGCCCTGCCCCTCTCCTCATTGGCTGACTGCCTCCTCATTGGCTGAGACAGCAAGAGGGAGACATTGGCTCCCTCTGTTGTCCATCACAGCCAGAGACCCGGGACAGCTGAGGCTGTTGTGCACATTATTGGATCACGATGGGGCTCAGGTAAGTATTGGGGGGTTAGGGGCAGTGGTGCACACAGGTTTTTTTTCCACCTTCAAGCATAGAGTGCATGAAGGTAAAAAACCTTGAGCCTTTACAACCACTTTGAGCTTTGCCTGCAGAGAGCAGCTCACTTTAGACACTTCGAGGTAGTAATCAAACTTTCCTACTTTCCCATTCCCTCCTGCACATTCCATTGGGCCAAAATATAACTGGTTGCATCATGGGCATATAGAATGTCCAGGCATTGGGAGGAGACAGGCAAGCTCCATTACTACCAGGAAGTGCTGATATAGATAGGTGTAATCAACTGCCCTGGAATTTGCTGAATAATGCCGGTTGTTCCCCCTGGATAAAACTAGCACTGGGATGCCCATTAAGTATAAACAACCAGTTTAAAAAAAAAAAAAAAAGTCAGAGATTGAGGCGTTTCCCAGGTTTACACTTAGGAAAACTCGTATTAGGTATTATGCAGGTGTGTCTGTAAAGATTCTCGTATATGGTTCTTTTTAAATGGACTTGTTCTATAAAGACATGCTGCTCATCCCAGTAGCATACCCCAGCATTTCAACTGGAGAAGCCACTTAGTCCACTTAGTGGTTGAGCAGCAAACATCTACAACAGGCATCACTAAATGGCGGACCAGGGTCTGGATGCGGACTGAGTCACTGTCCCATCTGGACTCATGCAGTCCTGACATTTAGGAACCTTTTCTTCCCCCAGCTGTCTCATGGTCATTCTCAAAGAGCTGACAGCAGGAGGCAGGACAGTTCTGGATGGAAGTTGGGAGCTGCCCGTGGTTAACAAGCAGGTGACTGCTTGCTAGGATAAAGGGCAGTCCTAGCAATCACTGTCTGTGTAGGATAGGACAGTGGGGGCTAAGATGGAGGGGGCCTGAGGACAGTAATGTGGGGGGGGGGGGGGGGCTAAGGACTGTGGTGTGTGGGGGCTGATGACATTAAAGAGAGAGGGGCTGAGAACTGTAATGTGGGGAGCTGAGGACAGTAACACTGGGGGGGGGGGGGGCTGAGGACAGAAACATGGGGGGATGATGTAAAAAGGGCAGAGTACTCTTCAGTGAAGGGGGCAGAGGACAGTACTGTTGGGGGGGGTGGGGGTGTTTGAGCTCAAGGAAGTGTGAGAACACTACTGTGAAAGGGGTGGAGGGGGGGGGTGATGTAAAGGGGGAGCTGAGGACACTAATCAAGAGGGATCTTGCTGTGAATGAGGAGGGGACTGTGATGTGCAGTGGGGATTGAGGACACTAATGCACAGATCTGGACCTGTTCTTATGGTGCACACATTGTGGGTAGGTCAGCACTACCTGCTAAAAAACCTGAAGAAGCAGCCCCCCCCACTTTTTTTTTTTTTCAAAACTGCGCCACAGCAGCATGTGGTTTGATGCACACGAAAATGCACTACAGGGGCCTACATGAGATTCGAACCTCCGATGCATGCATATTTTACTGTCCAGACCTTGGTGAATTTTAATCAATACTCCTGATCTACAACACTACAAAACAAATCCAGCTGAATGTGACCAGCAACTGCTAACTATATGTAGGTGCCCTCTCTGTTACAATTGTCTACTTCTCTACAAGTTAACACCCTTGTAAAACAAGCTAAATCAGAAGACTTAAAAAAACAAAAAAAAAAAAAAAAACAAAAACTATATGGGTGTCAGTGTATGATTTTTTTTCCTACACATAGTTGCATTTACGATACTATGGCATAAATCGCTGAATCTACTAAAAACGACACGTCTGAATGCCTTTATCGGCACTATAAAATTGCTATGTTTACCTTGTTGGCTCTGGTTTCTTGCTTCGACAGTTAATTAATAGCAGATAGTCCTGGGGATCTTCTTGGCTGTTGGCAGGTTCTAAAGGTGGGACGTTGAGCATCTGGTAGGGCGGTGGGAGCTGACCAGGGTGTGAACCTGCTGAAGTTGAGAATTCTGAACCTGCAGCCATGGGAATCTCCATGGGAGCAGGGACAGGAACACTGTGAGGCTTCACATCTGCAAAGGTAAATAAATGGAAAATGTAAACATCACATTCCCATTGATGGGCCTGTCCAGACCAGCAGTTCACTTGCATAGTGATAAACGGGATGTTTGCATTCCTGAAACTCTCACCCTGCATATGCTTTTCTTTGCCAGAATTATGAATACTGCGGAACTTCGGAAGAAAAAGTAAAAGGCATGATTATTATAATCATTTTGTATACTTTATTCTAGTCAACAACTTTTACAGGACCTTTCTTGTGAAAGTCAACGCTCTGCCACCTATTGTGTTAACAAAAACGCTATTGAAGTTTTGTCAACGCTGCAGAGATATACCTTTACAGAGATATATCATTGACAGAAATGCCATAGGATTAGAGATCTGGTACTGTGGAGCACCACCTCTGCCACTTCTGAGCACTGGTATGGTCAAATGTACAAAAAAAGAAAAAATATAAAAAGAAAAGAAGAGACACCTGACAGAGGCTCTAAACATTCTTTATTATATTCAAAATTAAAATAAGTTTTGGCTAGAGATAAAGAGCAGGGATAATTGAATGCTGCACATAAGAAAAAAAAAAACAAATACAATATTTTCAATGACCGTTTCGTTTAATAAACCTGAGGAATTTCTATAAAAAAGGTCAAATACCAACTCTCATACATTCCTGATTCATTAGTATGATGGAAATCCCCTTCCTGGTTTCCACCTACATAACTCTGGCAGACAATGCATTCCAAAAAATGCACCCTACACAAAAAAGGTATGTCATGGGCAAACATCACATTTCAAATATATATATATATAAAAAATATATTTTTTTATCGCACACACACACACACACACACACACACACACACACACACACACAAACACACAATCTTTCGATATGGATCCAGTCTGACAGACCCTTACACTACATAAGTGGCAAAGTCCAAAGCTGACCATACACTTTACAATTTGATTGTACAATCTCAATCCAAAGACCTGCCTGATTGGATACAAATATCACGGAATACTATGGACTGTAAAGTTAGGCCCTTATATTAGTTTTGTAATGTGATTGTACAATCAGATTGTAATGTGTATGGCCAGTTTAAAGGAAATTGTACAAATTGTAATCTATATGATCAGCATTAGAAATATTGTGAACTTACTATTTTGTATCACTCAACCCTCCATATTAGATTGTAAGCTCTAATGAGCAGGGCCCTCTGCTTCCTCTTGTACAGAATTGTAATGTCTACCTTCATTTTGTAAAGCACTGTGCAAACGGTTTGCGCTTCATAAATCCTGTATAATATAATAACTATTGCTCTGACGTTTTGTAATACGATAGGAGGCTATATGTAGCCGTTTATTTTATTTGATCTATTATAGCCCGATGCTTTTCATTAGCAAGAAACAAAACCCAGTTATTTTTTTTTTCATTAAGGCAAACAGCTGAGCAGCATACAGTAAACCAGTGCTGCTGTATAGTATTTTTAATAGCAATCAACCTGTATTGCTTATACTTCACCTTGCCCAGTATAACACTGGGCAGGTAAACTATTCAGACAGCTTTGAGTCATTCACAGAGTCTTTTACAGTGCTGGGCATAGTACCTGGCAAAACTGGCCATATGCTGCCATCATTTCTACTCCTGCAGAGCTATCAGCCTTTCAAAAAGCATGACTTCCTTCACTTCTATATCTGAAATAAAGTCTGTTTATCAATTTATTGAAGAGAACCAGACATTTGTAAATGTTACCGACACTGTACATAAAAATACCAGTTTGATAATTCTGATAAAAAAAATTCAGTGAGCTCCTAACTTCCTGTTATGAGCAACAATGCTACCTGCTGCATTGTAATCCTAAGCAATGTGCTACTCCTCCCGCACTCCCTAAGGCTGGCCATTCATTATACAATTTTGAGATTTTTGGTTTAGATTTACCAAAAACCATATAATATGAGGTCAAAAACGTAAAACACTTTCAATTGTATCCAATTAGGCAGGCTCTTGCACTACATAGTTGAAAGTGAATCTAAAGGAAATTGGGCAGAAATTGGACAGAAAATTGTATAGTGTATGGCCAGCCTAACATACAGGAGATCTGAAGCTCACCGGTAAACTGAGAAAGGTTGATCAGACTGCTTGACACAAGGTTTAGTAATGCAAAAGACAGCAATGAATTTCTGACATGAACAAAATGTATTTTTAGCACACACTGAACAATATAATACCATATTTTCATTGGTATTTGACAAGACCAGAAGGCACCAAATACGAGATGTTCATTGTTAGATTTTAACCTTTTACAAAAAGATGGCAACCCCCCCCAATTTATAGAAGAAGATGCAAGAAGATGCACAAGGAAGGGCGATGCACATCAAACAAATTTTTCTGCACACTAACCAGCCAGCCTGCAAACAAACCAAACTGACCCTGTAACAATTCACGTTAAAACAGAGGATTTTGTTTGCACACATTTGCATATATACAGTGGGTATAGAAAATAATCATTCCCTTTAAAATAATCACATTTTGTTGCTATGCAGCCTGAAATGAAGACAGATATTTTTGGTTTTATTCAGCTGTATTTACTCAGTGCAGCTTATAACATTGAAGTGAAAGACAAAACAAGTCAGAAAAAAATAATAATAAAACATTCAAAACCAGAATCACTACTGAGGATCAAGGATCACCCCCTTGTGTCCATATTTTGTTGAACCACCTTTTGCTTTAAGTACAGCCTTTAGTCTGTTGGGATATTTCTCTAACTTTGTTTGCCCACTCTCTGCATATTTCATGGTGACTGTTTGCGGACTGCAGTCTTGAACCCCATTGAAAATCTGTGGAATGGCTTGAAGTCTGGGCTTTGACTACGCCATGCAAGGATGTTCACTTTTTTTCTCCTTCAACCACTGTGTGCTTTGGGTCACTGTCATGTTGGAAGGTAAATCTTCTTCCTATTGACAACCTTCTGGCAGAAGGCAGCAGATGTATCTCAAGAATTTGACAGTATTTCCCCCCAATCATTTCCTTCTATGCTATTAAGTGCTCCAGTCCCTGCTGCAGAGAAACATCCTCATAACAGGATTACCACCTCCTTGCTTTACTGTAGGAATGGTGATGGTGAGCTGTATTGGATTTCGGCCAGACATATCGTTGAGTGTTGAGGCCAAATAATTTAATTTTATAGTCTCATCTGACCAGAATTCCTTTTTCCATGTGGTCTCAGAATCTTCAAGGTATGTTTTGGCAAAGCTCAATCGTGACTGCATGTGGCCTTTCTTGAGGAGTGGCTTTTTTCTTGCAACCCTCCCATACAAGCCACATTTGTGGCGAATTTGTGATGTTGTTGAATGCACACAATGACCACTCTGAAGCAGTTGCAGGAATTTATGACAGTTGCTGTAGGCCTCTTGGTAGCCTCTCTGACCAGTTTCCTCCTGGCTTTCATCCAGTTTGGAGTGACGTCCTGATCCAGGGAGGGTCTGTGTTGTACCAAATACCTTCCACACCTTAATGGACTGCACTGTGCTTCTAGGCATTGATAAAGCCTTGGAAATTTTTTTGCATCCATCTCCTGACTTGTGCCTATCTACAACTTTTTCCCTGACAGTGCCTTGCCACCCATAGTTGATTGTTTGCTTCAGATGCCCTACTAGGGACTGCAATGCTCCAGGAAAGCTCTTTTTATGCCAAGCTAATCAAAATGATCACAGCTAATCACAGGTGAAAGTAAGTCAAATGGCTGTGTGCCTTAGAGAAAGTGACTAGCTACACCTGATAGAGTATACAAATAGTTTTTAGGAGGGGGGGATCCTTTTTTCAACTCAGCGATTCTGTTTTTGAATTTATTTTTTTTTTTTTTATTTCTGACATGTTTTTGTTACATTGTTCACTTGGATGTTGTAAGTTGCAATGAGTAAATACAGCTGGTTAAAACAAACTATGCGTCTTCAGTTCAGGCTGCAAAGCAACAAAATGTGATTTTAAAAGGGGGCGATTCTTTTCTATAACCACTGTATGTGGAAGATGCAATATCTGTATACTGTGATCCTAACTCCAGTTTTAAGAGTCTCCAATTTGGAGCATTTAAAGCTGTGGAAAGGTTTGCCTGGGAGGTAGCCCACTCCTCTTTATAAGGCAGAGAAACACACTGAATGTACAGCAAGAGCACAGTGGCAGCTGAAGGAATCAAATGTGACCCCACACCAAACAAGCTATACAAAAAGATGGCAACCACCCCAATTTATAACTAGCCATTGAGGTAAGGTGCACATGGAAGTGCAACACACATTACAACAGAGTGTTTCATTGCACCACTTCCACCACTTTAAAGAAAACCTGCCATGAGGGAAATCCTGAGCATGTCATTCCTGACAACCTTTGAAAAATTCTTGTTACCTGGCTGTTAAGCTGACCCACTGGTTCAGTATGGAGTCACTTTTCTGGCACAAGTCTGCAGATTAGGAAGCTCAGAGTAATTTATCTGCATGATTTGCTCTTACTCTGTGACTTCCCAGGCAGCCAACATTTTCAGAAGCAAAGCTCAGCAATGCAAGCTCCCATGTTTCTCTCACGATAAGTAAAAAAACAAAACAAAAAACACAACTAACCATTATTATCAGTAAAGCCAACCTAAAACCTAACCCATCTCATTGCCTTAAGCATATGTACACCCCAACAATGGACTTAACAGATTTAAAGGCAGAAAATAGAAGTATACTATTAAAAGTGTTACTTGTTACTGTATATTTGTTTGGCAAGTAAAAAATACCTGGTCATCCTGTCAGGAATTTGGAGCGTGATGCACATTTCTAAAAGTGACACTACGGCTTCATTTTCTTTTTGTAAATAACATGTCTATACTTACCTGCTCTGTGCAGTGGTTTTGCACAGAGTAACCCCGGTCCTCTTCTTTTCAGGTCCCCATCGGTGCTCCAGGCTCCTCCCCCATGACCAGTGCCCCTCAGGGAAAGCCGCTTGC